CCATTGTTGATCCCATTCCCCACTCCAGCCCCATAAAATGTCTCTGGTGTATAGTTGTTCATTATTATTACTATTATTGTTATTTTCTCCCTGGGTGTATAGTTGTTCATCAGCATCATCATTATTATTTTCTGCCCTGGTCCTTTATACTCCTACTATGAGTGAATGATGTGTTAAGTTTCTTAACAAAAACTCTTTAATGACACTGGAAGTAAAAAGGACATCCACTTCATTTTTTAAAAGTATCCTAACCAAAGGTCAAACCATAAGCAAATATCATTATTATCTTGCCAAGACCCATAAGGAAATCTTTATTCAATATAGCAAGATCCATACATACAAAATAGTAACACCTCTCTGACAGACATAAAACAAACTCCAATTAGGAAGAAGATTCACTCATAACAACTTGCAATTTAATATCATCTTAAACATTCAGATAATGTTTTTTTTTTTTTCCAGAACTGTTGATATGTCAGTTGGAGATATCCACAAAATAATGAGAGACTTCGCCACAGTCCAATTAGGAAGAAGATTCACTCATAACAACTTGCAATTTAATATCATCTTAAACATTCAGATAATGTTGTTTTTTTTTTTTCCAGAACTGTTGATATGTCAGTTGGAGATATCCACAAAATAATGAGAGACTTCGCCACAGTAAATTCAAGGAGTGTGAGGGTATCTGTATAAATTGCACACATTTCTGTAGTATCTAAATTTTAAATGATTTTCTTTTAAACTAATAAAGACTAACAATAAATAATTCCATGTTAGGAGTTCAAAGAAACAATACCAATGTCTAGCTACTGTTAACAAATGTTTCTGCGTAATTAATAGTAATTCCAAAAGCTAGTGTACAGTCAATATAAGGTACTTACTTTTCCACCAAAGTCTGTACACATCCCTTCCAGGAAGGCATCTGTAGGGCAAGGTCTGCTATTGCTAAAGCCAGCTGAGTAAGAGAGATTAAGTAAATGAATAGAACAGATGAACATAAATAGTGTTACCATCAAAATAAACTGGAAAGTAAAGAAACAAAACTTCTTCCAAACAATATAACCAAGACATTTGAAAACCTCCTCCTCCCCTCACCCCAACTACATATATATGTGTGTATATGTATGTGTATATGTATATACACACACACGTTTGTATACACTCACGTGTATGTAATTCATATATACTCTTCTGGACTAACTAACAAATTGCTGAGATTTAAAAGTTAAGCTTTAAAAATTAAAAACAAAAAGAAGTCAGAAAGAACAGGCTATAGAGTTTTCTCAGAATGTATCAATACTTACTTTTATTTGGCAATACCATAGAACTTCATGGACTGATTAATTATATTTTGTCAAAAGGCCAAAGCTACTGACAAAGTCAGACTTTTGACTCACTCCTCAAGTAATGGATTGCCATATCCCTTCTCTTTCCATTTCTCATCTTGAAGCCTTATGCAAAAGCCTCCTTCCTCTTCAAGGGCACTTCTATGCCAGGCAGAGAACACATGTGAGTATGTATTCACTGAAACTTCCAGTTTTCCTTTCTAATGTAGTTTTCTGTCTAAAGGGCAAAGGCCAGATGCTGTACTTCACTGTTTGACTCATGAGACTTTCGTCAGTCCAAAAAAGACAACTATGTAGATTGCTGATCCAGAATCATACAATGTGTTTTAACACTTGCATTTTAACAGGAGAAGCACACGTCTGCCTGTGAAAACCTTCACTCACTTACCATACTTCTGTATTTAAATCTAAACGAAATTCAATGAACTCTATGATTTAAATGAACTAAATGATTTAAATACTCCCTATCCACTTGGGAACCAATCTGTGCTAAAGCAATGAATCTACAGTAAAGTTGTTAACATTATCTCACATGGCCTAGTAATATTATCAATGAAAATAAACTTGGTATATACTAATGACCTTAAGATTTACTTAATATGAAGCACAGGATTTACCTGCGTTACAATGACAGGTGACAAGTCTTTCAAGTTCTGGATATGAGTTAGTAATGAGTCCCGTAAAGAGGCATGAGAGTCCGTAGGGAGCTCATAAAATGAGGTCTGAATCTTCATTTTCATGGTCTGGGCAGCAAAATAGCATGATTCCACATCCTGTCGGATCTGTAACAACTGGTCTGAAATCTCCCATGCATGAACCTGAAAGCGGATCAGACAAAAACGCCTTAAATAAGTCTACTTTTCTGGATAGTTTCTTTTTATTAAGATTTATTTCTTTATGCATACAAGAACTAGGGTGTAGACCGGGGAGGGTGGGGGTGGAGGATTCACCAGAGAGAGTGGGGTGCAGTCACCAGAGAGAGTGGGGTGCAGAACAGGTGGATCCACTGAAATACACTGCTTAAAGGAGCAGTGGGCAGGACAGGAGAGGTCTGCTGCACCATGCAGGTTAGCAACCTGGCAGGCTGCGTCTTTAACCCCTGCCAACAGGGAGGCCCCTGACTAATTTTAATACCATAAATAGCTCAATACATGTATCAATCATATAGACCTAAGTATAATGAAAGGAAAATATGACCAAAGCTCAATTACCTACTAAAATTCAGTGAACGCTTCAGAACTACGTATTTATAGGTCCCATTCAACAAAAGTATTACCTATTTTCTGACTTATTTTAGGAAGAAATCGATAAGTAAATAAATAGGTTGCTGTTCAGAATCATTAATATTGTGTTTGTGTGGAAAGAGTATTAAGAAAAATGACCCAAAAGTTTCTACTGAAACTAACACATCACTATAAAGACTGCCAACCCTAATAGTAGGCTAAGCCTCTTTCCCCAAACTTAAAATAAGTTTTGTTCATTCTGAATTGAGTCTGGAATCTGTTTTAATGTATCAATAAATAGAATATATTTGATGCTGATCTTAATAAACCTGCATCTCAATCTTTAGTTCCCTAGTAAAACAACAGAAAAACTATCTTACCAAATGAATATCTCATATACTTAGATAATTTTCTGATGAGCTTATATTAGGTAAGTTCTAAATATGCCACTAAAATCATTTGCACAGTAGAAAATAAATGTATCTCTGAAAATAATAAACAAAGCTCTCCATGGTGGCTCAAGGGAGCACAGCACCATAAAGCTATATGCAGCTACTGCAGCAAGAATTCAATTCCCCGGCCAGGGAGCTGACCCACATGGTGCAGCACATCCTTCCTGTCTTGCCCGCTGCTCCCCTCAGCAGTGCACTTCAGTGGATCCATCTGTTCTATTCCCCACTGTCTCTGTTGCATCCTCTTACTGCCCTTGCACACTGCCCTTGCACTCTGCCCTGTACCAGGGTTCTTATATGCATAAATAAACAAATCTTTAAAAAAGAAAGTAATAATCAAAACAACAGAATTTGGTATCTACCAGTGATAATTAGACAACAGTCATTTTGAAAGATAATTTTAGGAACAAAATTGTGCCACACAGTAAGCAACTAACAAACAAACTGATAAATTCTAATCCAATTCTGTATCAAACTTCCTGTTAATGTGAGAATAAACTGCAAAAAATGTGAACCTCAATTTATAAATGAAGCCAACTGTGAAGAGATCACAGATTTAACTAGTTAATTTCTCATGAAGATACAGCACTTCACAAGTTGTACGTAATTCTTCAAGATCTTTGCAAAGATAAAAAGGAAGTCAAGGAATAGAATGGGTACAAATAAGTGCCCTTGAAAAGTCCAAAGTAAACTGAAAATAGAGACCTTGAAATTGATCTATCAAGTTTAACATATAACTTAGCTTTCAGTCAAATACATTCATGGAAATAGACATGAATGTAGCATTAAATTTCTTCTATATAAAATTGTTTTATATATTGATTTTCTTGTCTTTATGCCCTTAGCAGTGTCAACAATATACAATAAATGTTTGAGGAATTAATGAATCACTAATAACACCAACTTTTCTCCCATAAGCAAAAAAAAATTCCAGCCTTAGTTGCTTAGTCATTTACTATTTAACCAGTTATGCATTCATGCATATAACTTAATATGCCATCAAAATATATTTTGTTCAAACTGGTTTATCTATTTAAAAAATATCAAAGGCCCTCCCTGGTGGCACAACTAGTTAAAGCACAACACTGGGAAGCTAGCTACAGCAGCTTCAGCGCAAGTTCAATCCCCAGCTAAGGAGGTTACCCACATGGTACAGCAGACCTCTCCTGCCTCATGCTGTTCCCTCAGCACTGTATTTCAGTGGATCCATCTTTTCTATTCCCCATTCTGTTTCTGGTGAATGCTCTCACTGCCCCTGCACTCTGGCCTGTACCCCAGTTCTGTATGCATAAATAAATCTTAAAAAAATAAAATAGCAAAAGATTCCAGGAAGCTTTGGGATCTCCATAAATGTCCTCATAAAAACAGACTAATTCAACAGCAAAAGCATTATTATTAAACTTTACAACAAACTGGGTGTTACCTAGTTATCTCCAAGAGCCCCAAAATATATGTGCATTAGGAAAAAGTCCCACATAATTTCAGCATCAGTAAAAGTGGAAGCAGAAATAGAATAATAAATCTAAAAGATAAGGAACATCAAGAGTCAAGGTTTTCACTGGAAAGCAAAGAGCCAATTTGAGGATGACAGAGTGGAAGAGGCTTTACCCAAAAGCAGGTGAATTTAAGAAGTGAGCCAAGCAACCATGTAAGATCTAAGGAGAGCTACAGAGCAGTGCGGCTCTACAAACTTTCAAACCAGAGGGGCAGGATAGGGCCCCAAAGTGAGGAAACACTACTGCTACAGAATCAAAGTGATACAAAATTATATTACAGACAAAAAAAAAAGAAAAGGAGGGAATAAGAAAGTTAGGAAATCTTAGAAATCAAGCCACCCTATCAGTAAATAATATATGGAAACAAAAAGAAAGCTCTACAAAGTTAGAAGTATATTCTTTAACCATACCACCTTCTAAAGTTCAAAAAAATTAATTTCACAAATAATAAGCAATTGAGGTCAAATGCCAGCCATATAAGCTATGGGGGTTTAGAAAAAGTCTAATAAGAGTAACAGTCAAAGGACATAAGGCCAAATGGCTTACTAGTGAATTCTGCCAAACATTTAAAAACGGCATTAAGACCAATCTTTCTCAGACTCTTCCAAAAATTTAAGTAGAAAAGTGAACACTTTCTAATTCACTTAATGAGATCAGCAAAACCCTGATATCAAGGCCAGACAACACACTAAAGAAAACTACAGACAGTATCTCATTAATACTATGTAAAAAAAAAAAAAAAGGCTCAAAATACGGGATTAACACCATTCAAGGGTGAGGCAACATATGAAATGTAATATACTATATTAACAAAAGAGGAAAAATTCATAAACACCTCTCAATTGATAGTGAAAAAGCACTAATTTAAAACCCTTTCATGACAAATATATTATCTCAACATAATGATCATATGTGAAAGCCCATTAATAAATATCATATTCAGTGACCAAAGATTTAGTTTTCAAAACTCTAAGATCAAGAACAAGACAAGGATGCGAACTATTATCATTTTTTTTTAAGATTTATTTATGCATACAGATCTGGGGTACAGGCCAGTGATGTGGAGGGAGAGAGGATTCACCAGAGACAGAGTGGGGAACAGAACGGGCAGATCGACGAAGTACCCTGCTGAGGGGAGCAGGGGGCGGGTCAGGAGAGGTCTGTCGCACCATGTGGGTCACCTCTGGGCAGGTGGGAATCAAGCTCATGCGGAAGTGGCTTAAGCTTCTTAGTGCTGTGCTTTTACCGGCTCTAGATGCCAGGGGGGGCCTATTGTCATTTTTATGCAAGTGTTATTAGTTCTAGCCAGTGGCCACCCTGGTGACACAAGGTTAAGTAAGTCTCAGCACTATGAAGCTATCAGCAGCCACTGATAGCACAAGCTGGATCCCCCACCAGGAAGCTAACCCATATAGTAAGCAGGCCTCTACTGTCTCACCCTCTTGCATCCCTCAGTAGTGTATTTCAGTTAATCCACCTGTTCTGCTCTCCACTCTGTCTCTAGTGAAACTTCTCGCACACACCTCCATACCTCTAACCTACACCCCAGTTCTTGTATGCATAAGTAAATCATAAAAAAAAAAAAGTCTAGGCAGAGCAATAATCAATTGGGGGGGAAAAGTTATCCAAATTAAATAAACAGAGGTAAAATGGTGCCTGCTCATATGTGGATAACCCAAAAATTCTCTCTCTCTGTATCTCTCTCATACACACACACCCCTCTTAAAGAATAAACAGCAAAAGCTGCAGAGCACAAATTTACTACCCAATAATTAGCTGCACTCTTATATACTAGCAATGAACAACCTGAAGAGGAAGTTAAGAAAATTACATTTATAACAGCATCAAAAAGAAATAAAATACTCAGGAATAAAGCAAGGAGGCAAAAAGATATGTACACTGAAAACTACAAAACACAGGTGCTGATAGGACTTATACATCATAAATGGAAAGACATTCATGTGTTCAGGAATGGGAGATCGTTTTGGAGTCAATATGACCCAAAGAGATCTATAAACTCAATGCAATCCCTATTAAAAACCCAACATCATTTTTGCAGAAACAGCAAAATCTATATGAAATCACAAGAGACCCTGAGTAGGCAAAACAATTCTGAAAAACAACAACAAAGTTCATTAAGGTCACACTTTTCCAATTTCAAAGTTTATTATAAAACCGCAGTGACCAAAATACTGTGATACAGTCCTTGTTTTTATATAATACATTAAAAATACTTAGGGGGGAGTAGCTGGGGGAGACAGGAGAGGTCTGCTGCGCCATGGGGGTCAGCTCCATGGCTGGGGATCGAACTCATGCTGCAGTGACTGGCAATAGCTTGACAGCACTGAGAACCCATACCACCAGTGAGGGCACCACCTTCCAAAGGTCTTTAAAAAGGAAAGACAACAAAAAAGGAAAGACAACAGAGAGGACAGAAAGACCAAGAAAAAGAAAGTGAGGCAAATTAAGAAGTTTATCAGTGGTCGCTGCGCAATTCTTTCAAGTTAAAAAATTTTCTAAATAAACATCTGGAGGGCCCTCCCTGGTGGCACAATGAACTAAAGCACAGCACTATGAGGCTATCCACAGCCACTGCAGTAAGTCTGATTCCTGGCCAGGGAGGTGACCCACATGGCATGGCAAACCTCTCCTGACCAGCTGCTACTCCCCTCAGCAATTTGTTTCAGTGAACCGTCATGTTCTGCTCCACTCTGTCTCTGGTAAATCCTCTCATCCCCCTGTACCTCTGGCCATCCCCAGTTCTGGTGTGCATGAATAAATAAATCTTCAAATAATATATAAATCAACAACTGGAAATAAAATAAGTAGCTGATTAACAAATTAAAGAAATAATAAAGCCAAACTGATGAATTTCCAATAAGAAACAGAACCCATAAAAAGAATCAAGTGAAAATCTAGAAATAAATTCAAGGAAATGGAAATTAAGAACCAAATGGAAAGATTAAATGCAAATTAGACAACTGAATAAAAAATTACAATGACAGAAAATAGTAAGACTGAAACACAAAGTCAAAGAAGGATAAAGGAATACAAGTGATACATGTATGGAACAGTGAAAAAGTCTAACATACATGACTGAAATCCCAGAAATATAGTGCAGGAGCACTAAAGATAATGACTAAGAAATTTCCAAACTGATAAAAGGCAAACTCAGATTTGAGAAATTCTACAAATCCTTAAAAAAAAAAAGGGGGGGGGTCAGGCACATTATGACACTGGTAAGCTAGAGAGAAAAAGATATATTAAAGGTACAACAATTATACCCAGAGCTGACTGACTTGTTAACATAAACAATGGGAACCACTTATCTTCAAAATGCTGAAAGAAAGTAACTGCCAATCAGTTGTTCATTTTATGCCTCCTGACAAAATGAAAATCCTTCAAAATGCAACAAAATTATGCTTTTAAGAAAAAAACAAAGAAAAAGAGATTTCATTATCAATAGACCCACTAAGAAGAAAATAATGAATGTTCTTCAGGGAGAATAATTCTGAATGGAAATATGGAAATTAAGGAATACACACAGTAAATAGAAAAATTAAACATGTAAATAAATTTCAGTGAACACAGACTATATAAAGCCCTGTGAGGCTTAAAGTAAATGAATAAAAATACCTGATAGGGAGCTCCACATCTACCTGAAATAAAACAAGTTGGAAAGAACAACCCTTTCCAGTTAACAATAAAGAAAGAAAATAAAACTACAAAATAATAACTTTTTAAAAATGCATCAGAAGGGCCCTCCCTGGTGGCAAAAGGATTATAGCACAGCACTAAGAAACTAAAGCCACTTCAGCATGAGTTCCATCCCTGCCGCCCTGGAGGTGACTCGCGTGGTGCCACAGATCTTCCCTGACCTGCTCACTGCGCCCCTCAACAGTGTACTTTGTTGATCTGCCTGTTTTGCTCCCCATTCAAATCTTCTCACTGCACCTGCACCTCTGGACTGTACCCCAGTTCTGTATCCATAAATAAATAAACCTTTTAAAAAAATATATCAGAAAATTTAGGTCTCAGGACAACTGACGTGTACTGCAATCTAAAGGCAGACCTCTCCTTGGAGACGTGTTCATCTGTGGCACAACAAAGGAGGAAGGCATGCTGTATGTACCCTAGACAACCAGGTAATAATATTAAAGCTAAAACTTCTCACTGATAAAGGCTGAAGTGTGAGCTAGTGTAAGCAGAATCCCTGTCACAAGGGGAGTTCACAACCAACTATCCACCAAATATTCAGGAAAAAAAGTGAGGAGTAGGGCAGAAGACCAAAGAATTTGGAGGCTAATTGGTAAAGCAGTCCTCAAGGGTAGTGTTCAACTGCAGAAAAGGTACAAAAAGATCTCATTAGATCTTTCTTCCCTACAGAAAAAAAAAAAAGCCTAACAAGTGTGGCAGTGGCAACAAATCATGTCACCCAAAAGATGCAGGTTAAGATCCCCTGCTGTTGCAGTAAAGGTAAAAGAAAAAGCTTGACCCCGTAGGATATAGTACAATGAAGTTTTGAGCTCACAATACTATATTATCAGTACTACCACCAGAATCCTAATCCTACCACTGAGAAACAGGCAAAAAAATTTATCCTGTGAAAGACTGACCAGATGCAAGGCAATATGCCAGAGAACATGATCACTGAAAAAGTTCTACTGACGAGAAGAGAGGACACTGGACTGTACATCGTTACGACAGACCACAGAGTTCCCATTGTTCACTCCCCACAAAACTGCAATAAACACATCATCCTCAAACTCCTGAAAGTCATAGGTAAGAATATACTAGAGAATAGAATAAACAAATCCCTTTACCTTTCCATAGTGTGCTTTTGACCCTTTAACAGCTTCACTGTAGAACTTTGTATTGTAATTGCTTAGGCCTATGTTTATCTTTTCTAAGACTGCAAGCTCTTCAAAAGTAAAAAATAGCCTTAATTATATCTCTCAAAATCCTTTCGCCACAAGAGGCATTTAAAGTATATATTAGGGTCCTCCCTGGTGGCACAGTGAACTAAAGCACAAAGCTATTGCAGCCACTGCAGTACAAGTTCAATCCCTGGCCAGGGAGGTGACCCACATGGTGTGGCAGACCTCTCCGGACCCCACCTACTGCTCCCCTCAGCAGTGTAGTTCAATCAATCTGCCTGTTATGCTCCCCACTCTGTCTTTGGTGAATTCTCTCAACCTCCCCAAACCTCTGGTCTGTACCCCAGTTCTGTATGTATAAATAAATCTTTAAAAAAATAAAGTATGTATTAAATTATTAAATATGAAGCAAAATGACAAGATACCATCATCTCGTAAGTCTGTAACACCTGTTTGTTCTCCCAAACAGTAACACCAACCTTTTACTAGGTAAATGAGGTAAAGTTTATTGAGGGTCAGTTATAATAACAGCATGTACATGTTTAGAGAAAGGACAACAGAGAACAAGCAAATCAGTCCTTCAGAGAAAAAGAAAACAAAGGCCTTGCAAGGATGAGACTCATTTTTCACTCAGTAACTCATTTGTAGAACTTCATTTGCCTTTGCCAGATGGAGCTTTGGTTTTGTTTTGTTTAAAAGATGTATTTTATCTCCATTATATACAGTGTTGTAAAACCAATTTTACCTCAATAATGAAAAATAAGTAAAATTATTTTTTATTAAAAAAATTGACTTAGGCTTTCCCTGGTGGCACAGCGGGTTAAAGCACAGCACTGAGAAGCTAAAGCCAATTCCGCATGAGTTCGATTCCCGCCTGCCCTGGAGGTGACCACATG